GTTATAGGTCGTTGGGCGGCTGTCGAGATCTGTGCTTGGATGATTGCTTGAAATCGGTCCCGTTGGTTAAGCAGTCTTCGCTCCTTGCGAGCTACCAAGCTACTCTACGTGAAATCAAAGCAAGACCATAAAGGGAAGAAGGTTGGTTACCAATGGGTGAGTGGAGGAACCCCTGGGAAATCATCTTGATCAGATCTAGACGAATTAGCCAGATAGGCAAACGAGCGGAAAAAAGAAAGAAGAGGGCCAGGGATTTGCCGATGGCTTCTTCTTGGATATCACTTGTTCGGGTAAGTCAAGGGCCACCAGAGGCACAAAGCAAAGGCCGACCACTGTTCTCCACCACAAAATTCGGCACTCAGGAAGTGGCTGTTTAGTACATCCAGTGAAGAGATCCCGGATAGGGAAGTCAGAAGGTCTGCAAGCCGTTTTTGGTTGTTCATTTTTTTTTGTAAAAGAAGGAGACGGAAAGCTATGTACCCATGGGCATATGGCCTGGCAGGCCTTCCCTCTCTGGATCTTTCTTCAAGCATGCAATCTTCTTCACTAATAGGAGAAAGAATCTAGCCTAACTAGCTAGCATTTTTCAGGTGAAAGTTGAGACAACTCTGAGCGGAGGGCAGTGAGCGAACCTACCATCAGGCTAGGTACGAGAGAGACTGATCCATCAGCAGAACTCCTCGGCCCGAGGAAGCTGGGCCTGCGCTTCCAGCTAATCCAGTCCCTCAATTGACACTGAGCCAGAATCTACCACCCCATTCGGCATGCGGCTCACGCCATTCGAGGTGGACCAGGCCAGCCGGTTTGAGGCAGGTTGTGTTTCTCGGTTGATATTTCATTCTGGTTGTTGCCACCAAGTCTCTTGCACATAGAAAGGGCTCCAACAGGAGGGGCAAAGCCTGACCACCGAGCACTTGTCTAGAAAGGGGCGTTAACTGAATCGAATATTTCTGTTCGCTTTCCCAATTCATTCGTAAATCAAAATCAAAGGGTCCGAGTGAGGAAAAGATTAACGCCCCTAAAATGCCTAACCTACAACTCTCACTAAGCTAAACAAATTCTCTCCTGCCTGCGAGTTTGCTGCGAATGCTGCGAGTAAATACATGATTGTCGTCTTTCAAATTAAGGATTTGTCTGGCTAATAAACATCATCCTTCAGTCCGCGCCTTGGCTGCGGCGCGTCAAGGCACTTCTTCTGTGCAAAGAGGAACCCGAAAGCTCAGTCAAAGGCGGAATGAGAGTGAGTACATTATGGCAGGATCAGTCACCCGGGCAAACCAACCCCTCTCCAAGAGGAATTGTGCTATGCCCCCCCCGGATCCTTATAGAGCGAAAGAACCTAAAAAACTATAAGCAAAGTACCAAAAGCGCGCTCCGCCTGGTGATGCTAAATCGTTCTCGTGCGCCCGCTTCTTCTTCTTCTTCAAGAAATATTAAATCTCATTTGACAAAAACTCTTAGATACTCAGCACAGACAATGTCGAAATCAGGCCGCCCTTTGCCTTGAAAGAATTCACAAGGGAAGATCTAGGATAGGCAGCCAACCTACTGGAAACTGGATTGAATCCTTCTCGATGGAAATGCACTCGGCTCAAAGGCGCCTAGCGGGCGCGGTAGAGGAACTGGGAGACCTTCTCGAGCACATGATATGAACGAAGACCTTTTCTCCAGTTGCTAAGATGGCTACTGTTAAGTTGCGCCCTTCTTAGCTAAAAGAATGGCTGTATAATAGAAAATGAAAATCCCCAAATACCGGATAGGAAGCTTTGTAGGTTTGAGACCGGTATGGGTTTCAATCAGTTCAAGTTTGGTGTATTGGCTCTTTGGTTCCCGGTCAAAGCAGGTTGCTCTTGTGGTTAGACTCTTCCTCTAAAGAGTTCAACTGCTTGTCCCTATTTCACTTTGTTTTCTCGCTCCTTACTGGCGAAGAAGCGGCATATCACATCAGCCCTTAGGGTCAAGACAGCTCCTCTTATCCTTTACAACGGCACTTGCCTTCAAGCTTGAAACTTCTTGCCCCGTGGAACCAAGAGTAGAGTGACGCGAAGGACCTGAGCGGTCGGTAACGTTGGTGAATTAGGTAAAGGTACGGAAAGAGAGGAATTCGAACCCCCGGTAAAAGGAACAGAGGTCAAGCGTGTGGATGTCCTACCCCCGAAGCGATATGCCTCATTGTAGGACGAAATCCGGCAGCCGTCCAGGGAGCTGTTGGCTTACTCGTTGGGAGGTGTATCGGCAACAGTTGGCTCAAAATTTGCTTCGCTGGAAGAAGAGTGACTCGGGCAGGGGAATAGGACATTCAATTAGAAGGGGCAGGGCGTTAGCAAGGTTTTTTTATCCCCTCTTCCCGGTCAAGATAGATGGGTCGCCGTTTCTGATATGAAAGGTTAAAGTGTAGTGAGAGCCTAAAGTAGGGTAGCGAAACTAGGAACGGAGTTGGCTTCAAAGATTATAGCCGGAACACTTACTAATTAACTGTTTGCCAGTGAAGTGATTGCTGGGAGTGTAGTTAACCCACAATTGACCTTTATATTTTCTACCTCTGTCTCGCATGATGAAAAAGAGGCACTCCTTCTCTTGTCGAAGATGAGGCAAATACTTAATGAATTCGCCCAGAAAGATGGGGAAGCTTGTTATGTCTAGCTGATTAACCAATTTTAATACAAAAGATACGATGATCCTCCTAGGCTTAGGACCGAGTGGCAGCCTTGACCCGAGCGGAAATGCGATGTGTCTGGAAACGGGGATTGTCGAGGGCCCGAGCTCCCCGCCCCATCCAATCCCCAGCTCATTTTACGCTTAAACACATCCCAGGGAATTAAAGGAATACGGGCTCGCCTCAGTTCGGATTGTTCTCTCCAACTCAGGAACATGAAGTTTAGAGAGCAGTAGAATTAAGAGCTTTGAGATCGTTATTCTATATGATAAGTGAAATAAGCGTATATAAATGAATTATCTTTTTCATAAAATTATATTTATAAATTTTAATTTAATTAATATACTGTAGAAAAAAGTTTCTTTATAAAAACTACATATCTATATATAATTTAATGTGAACTAAATTTAATATTGTATTTTATATTAAATTATATCCTAATAATTTATTTTAGATATGTATACTAAAATAAAAAAAATATTTCTTATTTTAGTATTTTGTTTTAATAAGTTGAAGTATGTTGTAAATTATATAAATGTATGTTATTCTGTAAATGTAATTCATCATTTTTAATTTTTAAAAAAATATATTAAGTTATTTTATAATTATTGTTTAGAGCAATTTTTAAGAAAAATGTTAAATATTTATATATTAATATTATAGAAGGTTATTTCTTATTATATAAATCAAGATGAATAAATAATGATTTGTAGTTTAATTTAATATTATTTACGATTTTATTATTAAAATAATATTAAAACAATAAATCTTTATATTCTAAATAAAAAGATATTAAAATATATTGTTTAAATGTGGAAAAACTAGTTAAGAAGATCTTTTTTGATATCTTATTTTGAATATATTTAAACTATATATTAAGACTATGTTTTTATTTAATAATAACTAAGTTAATTTGTTGTAAGTAAAATAATATAAAATTAAATAAATGTAATGACTTTATCTAAACTACTTACAAGTAGATAAAAAAACTTTTGTTTTAATAATATTGATATGTATAGTTAAAGTTTTACAGAATAAACTCGAATATCAGAAAGTTGACTGGAGCAATCTTTTTCTGAATATTTTTAGAGCAATTTTATAGGATCATTTTTCAGCAAAACTAGATCACTGTAATTTAAAATTTATATCGTGTCTACTTTTTATAAATACTTATAACATTTGAATCCTATATTGTGTTCTATTTTGTATTTTTAAATTTAACTTTCTGACAACTTTGTTTGGTCAGTTTAATGTCAGTACACCTCTTTCAGACATTATTGATATCCTTGAAGTTTCATCACTTACATGAAAGTAACACTACAGTATATTTTTGTTTGTAATATTCGTACATCGACTTTGAGTTACCCTTTTTGGGATTAGATTGTCTTGTGCTATAATTGATATCAGGAAACAACTAGACCCTTTTTTTCCTTTTCAACTGCATAATAATTTGAGTTGATTTTTCTTATTGCACAATAAACAAATGTGCATGCGAGAAATACTAAAAATAAATTAAAATGTACCGGAAACAAACGGGAGCAAATGAATATGGTGATTTCTAGGTTATAACTTAAAACAATATTTGTGAAAGCACGATATTCTAGGGGTTAAGCTTTAAAAATTTATATATCTAGGCCCAGGATTCGAATCCCAAACTATATAACTTTTTGCAGATTATATATTATAGGAGATTCAAATTTCACTCTCCAAAGAAAATAATTTATTAAATAATTATGTAAATTACGGAAGAAAATTTTACAAAGAATCTTTAACTTGGTACAAGTAAATCCAGTCAAGCGTGTATTTTCATAGAACCGGTTCTAGTGATACTGTTAAGCGTAGATCTTCATAAGATAAATAGGATCGGTTGTCAAATCGTCTATATAATATTTCTTATAATTATAATATCACAATATATCAACGTTAAAAAAAAAAAAAACTTAAAACAAAATCTAAACTAGAAAAATGTAGTCATATTTTGTTAGACAAGGCTCGATGTTCAGCAAGATGATATCGATGGAGTGATCAATCTTACATACTTAATATACTGTATCACCAAAAACCAAATTACTAAACAATAATTTTCGACATCAATCAGTATAATTATTACTTTCTCTTTTTTATAAGATATTTTAGAAGGTTTATATTGTTTTAAAATATAAGATATTTTTAGATTTTAAGATATGTTTTGAAATTTTAAAATTAATTTTAATTTTATTAGAAACTGTTCAATCAATATAAATTGTGTATATAGGCATTTTACATATATTATCCTGTATAAAACAAGAAAAGCGAAAAGAGCAAAACATACAAATGGAACTTTATAAAGGGTATAAACCCTTTCCTAACGCTTGTTGTGTAAATGGTTTGACCCCGTCGGAATCTTTCTCTTCTCCGGCTTGAAGTCTCCCGAGCTCATTACACGTGTGGCATAAGAGTGGGGAAGCTCTCTGTCTTCTCTAGAAGGTCCGGAAGAATAGCTTTGTCTTCCAGCAGCATGGATTCTTGGGGCTTTAGAGAAAGCAAAATCGAGAGTGGAGAGAAGAACAATGAGGCAAAGAAGTCGAATTCGAATCATTCTTGTGTTTGTAATAGTTTGTTTTTATCTTGTTTTCTCATAAATTATTTTAGGAAACTACACCAAACAAATAAATAAGTGAAGAAAAGAAACCTATTTGAAGAGAGATGGTTGCGACGACTACGATAATTTAATCGATGCGAAAGCTTCCATACGGTGTTGTATATGTTGCATTATTTATTCTCATGTGCGGACATGGATGGTCCACATCATAATTATCTTCCATACGTTGTTGCAAAATTAAAAAAATATATATATTTTGTGAAATTCCAACATTATAGTATAAAGACTATACTAAGCTCTAATTTAGTGCGACATCACAATCCCAGCTCGACGAGAAATAACCCAAAAATCAAGAGGATAAGAGTAAAATGAGACAAAAATGAGAGATACAGTCATATAGGTAATTAGACAAAGAAGAGTATTATCAATGCAAGGTGCTTAGTGAAGTGTTTCGAATAGACCCCACAAAAATCCCCAAAACCAACTATTTAAAATGCCAAAATCCCCACTGATTTATGTGGGTTGTTTACACTGTGATGATCCGTGATTGGTTCGTTTTTTATTTTATTATTTTGTTATCAGAAAAAAAAATTTTTTTTAAAGAAATTAAAATTAAGCATCCCCTTAAGTTAAAGATGCTCTTACCTTCTACTTTTCTTTTTGCAGACTGGCGGCGTTATATAAGAGCCACAAACCAACACATAGCCAGACCAAATCATACACAGAGACAAGTTTAAACTAATTGATTTTTTTTTTTTTAACACAAACGAATTGATTTTAGAACCGTAATTTGATGGCAGCTTTAATTTCTTAAACTCCATCAAACTCATCATTGTCCGTCTGAGAGAATTGATCAAGTGAATCTATAATACTTTTTTTTGCTCTTAATAGATTTGTACTAGGCTTGTTTTTTTTTTGTAACTGAATATGAAATCGTAACTCAAAAATAAAAAGGAATCTGCATCTGAGCTAATCTGTAAAACTATTCGAACGGATAATGTAGGATGATATTTTGGATAGCAAATATTATTCACTCAACTTTAACCCAAACCTAGAAAAATCCAAAAGATCTAAAAATTTACCGTATAAACAACAAAAAAAAATCATTACTAATATTGAAATGAGTATAATAACCTAAATAAGTAAAATATACTGTAACATCTTGACATATGATATATGGAAAGGTTTAAAAATATTGATTTGGTTATCTATGTTACTAAAGTTAACTTACCTTTTCCGTCACATGTCCGTTTAGAATTCCAGGATTAAGCGTGCTTGTACTGGAGTAGTGAAAGGATGGGGGATCTATCAGAAAGTGATTCGCGGTACTGTGCGAGTGAGGCCAAAGGACATGAAAAAGTCGGGTGGTGATTGCAGGATCTGTAAACAATGATTTTAAGCCTTTGAAAAACCTATTGTAATGGGAGGGACCCACGGACCGAGAGAACAGGCGTGGGTGACCTATTAACTGTAGGCGATCGGGGCGTCACATACTTGATCCTATCCAGAAACAAGTAATCAACTGTGAATGCCCAATTTGTACAATTGAGCATTTCTCCAGACTTAAAGGTCAGAAAAATAAAAGATTTAAAACACACACACAATATATATATATATATACTAGGTGGTTGGTCCACATCTAGTGAGGACATAATTGTTTTTCAAATATTAAAATTTGTACCTTAATTCTTCTGTACCAGTGTCTTGGTGCAATTTAGTATCGGACCAAAGAAAATTATGTTTGTTTTTTTGTCTTGTAAGTCCTCAAGACTTGTTCGTTAAATTGGAAACATACTTACTTGGCGTTAACTCTTTGGAATGGACATAAGTTATGCTTGTTACAGCTCTCCTTTCCTCTGGTTTGGGACCACATGGGTGGTCGCGATTGTTACATCGGTTAATGACTATGTTCCTAGTTCAATATTATTTTGTGTCCTTCACCCTTGATAGTTTCATTAAACATAATAAATTAATTTCTTCAAATATTTCAGGTTCAAATCCATTACAAAGCTTTCTCCGACGATATCGTATTTATCTCTTCACCTCAAAGCATATAAATAATTTTGTTTAGATACAAACGCATATATGAAGAACAAAGTTTTAAAAAGATGTAAAATCGATATTGGTACTTGTTTTTGCCAGTGTCTCAAACCACTTGCATTCTAAAATTGCATCGATACTTACCAGTTTGATTGCCACTAAGTCAACATGAACGGTGATACCTTGGATTTGTAGGTAACAACCTTAAATTTGCTTGGAGTTGTCAAAATGTGCCCGACACATTGTAAACACTACTCTCCACTAATCAATATATGCAACTCTTCCTTTAGATATAGAACCCAAAAGAGTTTTGTGATAGGTCTGTTGTTTCTATTGTCATCCTTGCCAGCTCCTCCATCCTCGACTCGTTCGTGCTCAACCAACATGATTTGTTACTGTCATTAGTGTCTCGGATGCCATTTGGCATCACGCGAAAGAATAATCTATTACATTATTTTCTTGTATCTCTGTCAGGTTCATTCTTAGGATCGTAGCATACATGATAGCATGAACTCCTTTGGTTGGACTGAAGTTAACCTTGTTCCCAATCTTTTCTCCTTTATTTAGAGACCATGTGGGTGATCTTGATTAAGATATCACTTTAGGACTCCATCCCAAGCCATAACTAAATTATGTTCAGGATCTATCAAGCTATCTCTTTAACTGTTGTCGTTTAGTATAACAATTGAGTCTGATTTTCAAAATCATAAATTTATATCATTCTAAAAGATGTCTAACAAAGAGTAAAATATGGAGAAGGTGAAACATTTGCCCATATGTCGACGCCAAATATATAATAATTATGGAAAGTTGCAATATTTTGAAACTTTTCTACTAAGAGTGCACCATAACTGGTCGTATGATAAAACTTACTTTTAGATTTTTAAATTTCATTTTCAAAATAATTCAAGAATCTTGAATTGTCTTCTTCCTTCAGAAATAACAAATGTCTTCATCTTCTTCGATTCATTTTTTTTTTGTTTATCAAGAAAATGCTATTTTTTAAATCCGTTTCTGACAACAACAAAAAAAACATTAGTTTATAGGTCTCATGTTCTTACGCTTTTGCTCATCATATTTCTATAAAATACTGAAAACGTAACTTGCATATAAAATTTGTAATTAGAAAAAGATAATGATTAAACCAACTAAACTTGTATAAATAGAACAAAATGTTGGAAATTCAAATGAAATAGAAAAATATTCATCTAAAAAAAAAAAGTCATTCGTTTTAGAAAATAGTTTAGTCAAAAAAAGATGTTTGTAAGAACTTATCTTCTCAAAACCCTTAAATTTATCACATAATTATTATAGATGTATATGAAACTTTATGATGTATATGAAACTACATCAATCTCTTACTTTGGCAGATTCTCTAGCATTAATGAGGGACCATTGGTTTCATTGTGGAATATTATTTGAGTTGTTTGGCAATATACATTATGTGGTTTTAGAAATTAATAGGAGGTATATTTGTTAAAAGTAGCAATGGGCCTTAAAACCATTTTTATCTTAATTCGGTACGAAACCCAAAATCCCACACCCGAGTCCATCTCGACCCTTGTCCGAAATTTCGAGGATTCTTTCAGCAAATGGTAAGAGAGAAAGATCGATAGAGAGTACGTGAAAGGAGATTTGATTGATAAGCTATGGAGCGGAGGCGCCGCCTTGTGGCAAAACAAAGCCAAAGATGGCCGGGAGTGTCTCCGTCGTCTCGCTCTCGAAACCATAGTCCATAGACCTTCCCGAAAGATCCCGAAATCATCTCGGAAGGTATCCTTCATCATATCTATATCACATTTTCCCGCGCATAGACTCTAAACACCATCGTTTTAATTCTTTACGGAAGAATTCACCGTTTTACTGTGTTATAATTACTCTTGTAATCTTGTTTTGTGATTGTAGCGAAGTTAAAATCAACTGTAAACAGTTAAAAAAAAAAAAAAAAAAAAAAAAAAAAAAAACTGTAAACAGTTTGAACATAGTCATCTTATCACGGTTTATCTTATGAAACTATGCTCTCACTGAACCATCAATCTGTTTTGATCGTGATCTAGATCAAGCTGACATCTTTTTTTAACAAGTAATGTGAAGACTACATAATGATATCGTCACAATGACTTGTCTTCTAAAGTTGATGGTTTGTTTTAAGAAAAGTCTTTTTTACTAAAGAACCTGAGAATCTTAGTTTATTTGTTGGACTAGTTGTTAGGGGAAGTGTAAGCAATAAAAGTTTGGGGGTTGGTTTTTGAGAGAAAGAAAAAACTAGTTCTTCACAAAAAGAATAGGAGTGGAATCTTGAGAAACTAATGCTACAATGATAGGCTTTGTTATTTCTGCTTCTAAAATGGAACATAGACATGGTGTTTCAAAGCTGATTTGGTGGTATGGTACTGACAAAGTGATGACTAATGAGGTACAGAGAAAGTACTCATGATAGGATTGGAGAACAGAAAGTAGGAAACTATTGTCCTGGAATATTGAATGGATGGACGATTATGCTAATGGAAAACAAAAAACAAAAAAATCTCTAATAACCTATGGATGAGGATGAGAACAATTCAAAGACCACTCAATCTCTCTGCCAAGGGGTAGAATAGTGTTGCTAAGACCTTGATTCATCTTCAGGTTCAGGTCTCAGTCCTAGTGTCAAAATCAACTAAGCTAAACCCAAACTAAAACCGTAACTTAACATCAGGAAGGCTTTATCTCTTCCTCAAACTACATATAAAGACTAAAAAGAACATGAAGCTTTCTAACTAACCATTTCCTAAGTTATTTTATGTGTCTTTTTCATGCAGGTAAAAATCAATTGTAATGAAAATCATATAAGCAGTATCAATCACCATGCAAACTAAACAAATCCTTCCTCCCTCTGGAAAGAAAAGAAAAATATAAAATACTTTAAAGGAGAAATGAAAGAAGATTGAAAATAGGGTTCAAATGTATCCCAAAAGAGAGAAGAACAATGCTGAAAAAGTACCAAAAGAGTCATCTGAAAAAGAGATTAAACCAAACAAACAACATACAGTTTTCCACAATCTTTCTGTCTTTTCAGTTTATTACTTAGTAAACTCGTTCTTTTGTGGATGTATGTTTTCATTTCCGTAACTGTCTTTTCTGCTACTAAATATCCCCCGCCCTGCTTTGCACATTCTTAATCAGCTCCTGACGATATCTCTCAGCGGGTGGGTCCGCCTGTGAAAGAGAAAAAACAAACAGATCACAAAAGAAACTTTGAGTCTTGTTTCATTAAGCAAAACCATGCAGAGATCGACAGTTAATGGAAAGGTTTTAATCTTACATCAAGTAAACTAGCAAAGGTGCCATTGAACAGCATGACAGGAGGGTAACGCCTTAATCCCCTACGAGCCCTAATACATACCAGAATATCAAGTTCTTGTTTGCCTGAGAGCAAGAATTCGAAAAGGTGTAAGCAAAAAAACCTGGGTTTGTAGGAGAGCTTGGCGTAGCAACCAACAACAAGATTGAACAAGCTGGGACGATGTGTGGTCATGGTAGTAAGATACACAAGCAGCATTTTCAGAAGACCGTCTAATGTAAAAAAACGCTCAGGGCAGGCGCAGCAGTAGTGAAGCCCCTCATCAGTGAACAGTATCTTGTTAAGTATGAATACAGCAAGCTGAAGAAGTACTGTTAGTTCAAAATGCTTTTTCCTTCTTGTCTAATTTATAGTAGCAGGAGAAGGGAACTTACTGTTTTCGATTCTGCTGAGCCAATCGCGATGGCTTTTGTGCAATGTTCGACAGCATTTGTTTTTGTAAGGTAACGAACAACAGCTACGTCTACTGGCTGTAAGAGAATAAAGTGAGATGTTCAAAGTAATTCAATAGCTTTTGTGACAAAAAGATATATGTTGTAAAAGAGGATGTATGTACCGGCTTCAACATATGAGCAATCACACCCAATGCACCAAGCCTTAGGCATTCAAGAGGCTTATCGGTGAGACTAATGTCCATCAAAGGATAGAAATAGTTTGCCATGTCAGCTGCAACAAACAACATAAGATATGATGTTTCTTAAACAATGTAAAAGATCTCCTTGATACTCTTCAAATAGTATATAAATATAACACATATATATATATATATATATAAACAATATTGTTTATTTATATTATCAACATTTACATAACAAAAACTACTAACTTGAAAGTTTTTCATGATTTTTTTCAAGTTTCACAACAAGACAATTTTATTTATTTTCTGTTTTTTTTTTCCTTTTTTTAGTTGAGATATTATATAAAAACCATCAATAAATATGCTCTAGTATGATATAAAATAAGGGTAAATCGCGAAAATAGCACATTTATAAGTTTATGTCACAAAAATAGCATTCAAAAACTAAAATGACCAAAACAACATTTTATTTTATGAAAAGTTTAAAATTTTTTTATTTTTCAAAAATTGAAATCTTATCCCCAAAACCCCACTCCCCAACTCTAAACCCTAAAACCTAAATTCTAAACCCTAAAGCCTAAAATCTAAAACCCTAAACCCTAAGTCTCACTCTTTAACTCTAAATCATAATGTCTAAATTAATTAATTATTGAGATATATGTGTATATTTATCTCTTTTGATAAAATATTAAGTGTTATTTTGATCATTTTTATTCTCAAGTTGTGATAAAAACTTTTTAGTATTATTCTAGTCATTTTTTCATAAAATAATATAGCAGATATATAAAAAGAGATTTTTTTCGCAGTGAAGAAGAAAAATATACCCGTAAGAAACATGCTTCTTGTATCCGGGTGATGAGTTATGCACTATAACAAGATAAATAAGATAACATTAAGGCTTAGAATTTTAAATGGTTCTTAAATGAAAAAGAAAACAGAAAAGTGTGAGACCAAACAAAACCTGGAACAAAAGCAAAATGTTGTACACTCGAAGATGCATCCCGTTCAGTGAGTAAACTGGACGTGAGGTGTATGGGTAGATATTCGTGATCTCCTGCAAAAATTGAATGAAATTCAAATTACAAAGAGTGGATCCTACAACAACAGATCATGGAAAGATCTTGAAAGTTAATACAATCAATCTAACAGGTTTGAAAATGCCAAAACACATCAGCATAAGTCATCTGTGAAACCAAAGTAGTTAGTACTGAACCTGCAACATCATGGCCACTGTAAAACGAGATTTCCATAAAAGCCGCGGCAAGATCTCAAACTTTGTCCTATGCTGCCATGGAGAAAAAGTAGAGAGTGACGGTGCAAGTTTCTAACATTCCAAGAACATTATAATAGTTCTCTCCCACGACTATGTAATTTTGTGACATTTCATAATTATAAGATAAAACGACAGTGCAGCTATGGTCAATTCGTTCTGAGGTGTTAATAAATGTTTTCAGATTATTATGAAATATTATCTCACTTGAGATTCAAGTATTCAATAAATTTTTTATATGCAAAGCTTTACAATATCTTTTTGTCTATATGTTCAAAGTAATTGTTTTTAGTTTTGTTTTCCGAATATTTGTTTTTAATTTTGTTTTCCGAATACTCATTATTTATAATTTTTTTTCGTCTATATGGCTTAATGCAGTCTAAAAGAAGCTAACTCTTGAGTAAAATAGTTTTCAGACAACAGTAATGGATAGTCAAATGATGCCATATGGAAAGAGATAGTAAATGGATGGTCTAGAAAACCGAAGATAAAGAAAATGCCAAAATACGAAATTTTAATTTTTCCAAATATGAAATTCTATTTTTATATACATGCGTATCTTGTTGTAAAAATTCTATTTCCAAATATATATATATATATATATATATATTTGCATCTCCTACCGAAAAATACTTTTTTTTTTCTTTTGAATTCAAGAAGTTTTCGGTGGAATTCCATAAACTCTTATATTTCTAGGATATCCTAAACCTATAGAAAAATTTAAATTAATCTTCAAAAGAATGCGTAATCTATAAATAAATCTTCTTTCTTGACTTTTAAATGAATTTTAAAACATGAGTTTATATCTATATTAGATGAACATAAATAATTATAATTTAGTTTCGCAGTAAATTGTCGAAACTAAAACATGTTAGTGTTCCAATTCCTACTTTTTTTACCATTCGATCACAGACATTTAATTTATATTTATATATTTGCAATGAATGCAAACACGTTTGGAAATTATTTGTCCCTACCGTGAATTTGCGAAAAAATTGCATATCATTTATTTGAAGATAAAACTTAGAATACATCAAGTGGCTACTCAATCCATATAAACAAATTAAAATTTAAAGCTTCACGAGGTAGTTACTGACCACACACATTTTTATCTCGTAATATGAAAGTAAACATACAGGTAAACTAAAAACAGACAGTGAAAAAGATCTCAGCTTATCCAGAGCCGGTCCTAGAAATGCACAGGCTAGAAGCCAAAAATATATATGTGGCAGACTAAGTTCGAACTCATGACCTCTTCAAATTAGTAATAATACATTTACCAAGTGTGCTAAAGCATTTTTCAACAAAATATCGGCTGAATTAGTAGTTAATAGTTGGTGGCCGGAAGCAAGTGCTTGACTTGCTTCTATTCAAGGCCGGCTCTGGCTTATCATATCATGAACAAAGAACAACTTATAAAATTTTGCAAAATGTTCTAAGCCTAATAAAAATTACGAACGCCTTTCGGATGATATAATACCAAAAATTTCAAAATGTAGACAAACAAAAGAAGAATAGCAATTGAATGTTCCTTAAATATAGATCAATGAAAGGATGATAACAGTTGGGTGTTTTTATGATGACAAAAGTCGCAAGATCTTTAAACCTTACAAGAATTATGAGAACCAATTAAATGGTATGATGCTGATTAAAAATCAAGCGATTTTGGTCTAGTGGTAAAGGGGTTCTAGTTGGAGTTTCCGCCTTGGGTTCGATTCCTCTTGGCCACCTATGGACGCCTTAAGTGGCAACCAAATCTAAGATGGATATGAACATAATTTTAATAAAGAAGGTGACAATGAGAGATTAAGATTTGATATATTGTTTTCAGTCATATCCTCATGACCACACAATTAAAGGGGGTAGGGCACTGGGATAATTTTGTTAACCTAAGCAGCAAGTAACAAAGGAGATATCAAGATACCCAACTGAAAATAATAACAGTCCCTTTATGGAGATATCAAGATACCCAACATTATGGGATCTCATTAGTGGTATAAGTAGTCTATCAGACTTAAAAACTGACAGCATGTTAATTGATGCAATTAAACATAGAGGCAACAGAGAAATTAATAAACTGAAATCATATAATAGAGAAAACAGGAGAATTAGTATTTTAAGCACTTACAATAGTGAGATTCTGCAACGCGAAATCGAAGGTGGATGGTATCTCATTATGAAGATCATCGACCCACTTGATAATCATTCTTATGTTTGGTGGAGGTGGTGAGGCTGAAGCGGAGGGAAAATTCACCATGAATCTAGTGTAGTCTTCATATAGGGAATCTGGTAGATTCGCCATTTTCAAACACGAGTTATTAGAAGAAAATTCTATCGGCGATTTTGTTTTTTCTCTCTAAGAGAATTAATTCAGCTCGGATTGTTGAGGTGGTTGATGAGTGGGAGAAGAACTTATATAGAGGCTAAGATGCATGCATACTTTAAATATGTAATTGACAAAATTCTTTCTAATGATCTTTTCTGGTTGAGTATTAAATTATATGGAATAATAGTTTTCGAAGCAGGAAAATAATAATATTTCAAGAAAATTTACATGGAAAGATAATTTATATATATATTTTTTTAGATTTGTTCTATCTTTCTATAATAAATCTTAATATGTATTGGCCCGAACAAATGTTAATCTTATCTACAGGCCAGATGTCAATCTAGAAAATATATTTACCGGATGCACTATTAATGATTATTTTGAAAAAAAATATTAATCTGTTTTCATCAATTTTTATTGTTCAAAATTTATTTTAAATATTTTATAGTCAAAATGATATATTATATTTGTTATACTCTCATATTGGTCTAAATCTCGTGTATGTTTGATGGAAAAACTCACAGTTATCTAGAAAGTATTTAGAATTTAAAATTATATACCTATATAATTATATTTTTAATGTATAAAAATATTATTATTTTATTTATCATTTTAAATTAAAATGTTATAGATATATGTACATTTTGAATTTAATTATTTATTTTAAAAACATATATTAAGAAGACTCTTATAAGACATTTTACATTTGAAAAACAAATGTATATATTTATAACTAAAATTAAAAAGATACTGAAAAATATTATGAATAAATGGTTTTATAATTAATTTAACTAAAATCGCTTAGAGGTTATTACCCTTACTGAAAATCCGAAAAATGAAAAAAATAAATTGTATGAACTATAAATTATATGTTAACTAAATGTTAATTCTATAATGTACTTATATTTAATAATATATATAAAACATATGATAACGACTGAACTTGGGTTACTGATGGTGCACAAACTAACTTTTAACAAATTTTATTGTTTTAACAAAATTTTGGATATTAAAAGGTGCATATTTTCCACTGACCACTGTTCATAAACTGTATTTGCCATTGTACATAGATGTGTAAAGAGGTATATATATATGAGATAGGAAAATGACCTATTTCGACTTTAACATACGACCTTGGAACTGCTCACCAGTGCTAAACACGATCCAAGCTTGATTCAGTAACTCAAAATACTACTTTGATTAACTAGCCTTAAAATAGGTAAAACAACATCAACATTTTGTGTGTATGATAAATTGAAAGAAAACTGTGAATGGTGAGGGATTCAACCAAAGCATAGATGATTTCGTAAGCAGAGACAATAACCACTTACCCACTTATATATATATATATATATATATATATATATATATATATATATATATATATATATATATATATATATATATATATATATATATATATGTGTGTGTGTATTAATGATATCACTGTACATACAATATAACAAAATGAAACATTTTCTTCGTCGGGTATAGGAGAATAATGATGAGATTAGTTAGATATACTTAAGAGGTTGGATAATGATGTAATTAGAAGTAGTAGTTATCTACTTAGGAGTCGGTGAATACGTTGTAGTATATATATACGTGAAAGAATACATGAATAAACACAACTTCACATTATCAAATTCACATAGTATCAGAGCGATCGATCTAAACAAACGTAATCGTTCAAAGTATTGGTTGAGCAAATTTCATTCTTACGATGGGAGAGAATGATGACGTAAAGCAGATTGTGGCAACGTCGAGTGAAAAATATGGTTTTATCGCCATACTCGTTATTTAGCTCCGATAATCTGGGAGCATTGATTACCTCCGTTCAGCTGAAGGGAGATAATGAATGGGCCATGGAGATGTCTAATGGTCTACGATCCAAGAAGAAGATGTGGTTTGTTGATGGAACCTTGCCAAAGCCTACTGAAGATACTTCCGATTTGGAATCATTTCGATGATAGTTGGTTGGATCAGAACCTCAATTGAACTGTGGGTCAGGTAAATCGTGACGTATTCACCGACTCCTAAGTAGATAACTACAACTTCTAATTACATCATAATTAAACCTCTTAAGTATATCTAACTAATCTCGATGATAGTTTGTTGGATCAGAACCTCTATTGAACCGAGGGTCAGGTCAACCATGACGTTTATCACCGAAGCTCATAAGTTGTGGGAAAACCTGAGGATGAGGTTCGAGACAGGGAACAAGGTGCGTACTCATCAGTTAATGAAGAAACTGGCGTCTTGTAGACAAAACAAAGAAGCGGTAATAGATTACTACGGTCGTCTAGCGGTGGTGTGGGAGGAACTGCAAACGTACCGGCCACCTTCAGCCTATACTTGTTCCGCGGCTGCAGTCTACGAGAAGGAGAGAGAAGATGAGAGAGTACAAAACTTTATCATGGGTCTGGATGAGTCTAGATTCGGGAATGTGGTGACAGCTATCATCAAAGCTGCTGAGTTTGCAGATCTGGGGAAAGTATACGCCAAAGTGATCAGAGAAGAAGCTCGTCTGAACTAAGCTATGGAGAGAGAAGTAGTTCCCCAAGAGACAATCGGTTTTGTAACTCATCAAGAAGCACCAATTCAAAAAGATGTAAGAGACACGAGATGCCAGTGGTTATGCGGAGAGAATGGAGAACAACAATCCTAATTATGGGAATAGAGCCAGGGATCGAGTGTGCTCTAACTGTGGAAAAACAGGCAATGAGAAGAACAATTGTTGGCTTATTATTGTATATCCAGAATGGATGAATGAAAGACGTGGAAGAGGCTCAAGTAGAGGACGTGGTGGCTCAAATACAAGAGGTGGGGAACGTGGTGTTGCACATACAACACATGCTACAAACTCATATGGTAGTGGTGGATTAGATCTTACTCCAGAACAATGGAGGGCCATCACGCATATCATAAACGAGGGGAAGACAAACTCTCAGTCTGAGAAGCTTTCTGGTAAGATTTTTGGTTATTTGATTATAGATTAAGGGACCTCACACCATATGACATGTGACATAAGCAAACTAGTTACACATTAATAAAACAAACAAGAGTTTTGAGATTATTCATGTGGATGTTTGGGGTCCATATCGTGTGCCTGCCTTGTGTGGAGCAGTGTATTTACTCACAGTTGTCGACGATTTTACTAGAGCCGTATGGACGTACCTTTTACTCGCCAAGTCTGAAGTAAAGAAGGTGAGACAACTTTTTTGCGCATATGCAGAAACACAAATTGGTAATTCAGTTCAGACAGTAAGAAGTGATAATGGCACGGAGTTCATATGCCTAACAGAGTTCTTTCAAGACAAGGGTATTGTGCACCAAACGTCTTGTGTAAGCACTCCAAAACAGAATGGATGTGTAGAGAGGAAGCATAGACATATTCTTAATGTAGCAAGGGCGCTATTGTTCAAGAAAAATTGCCTATCAAGTTTTGGGGTGAGGTTATCTCGACTACAACACATGTAATAAACATGAAGCCTTCAAGAGTATTAAAAAGAAGTGCCCCATATGAGAAGCTGTTTGGGACGAAACCATCATATGATTCATTGAGGGTGTTTGGTTTGCTATGTTATGTACATCGACGTGATAGGAACATAGACAAGCTCGGGGAAAGGAGTAGGAGATGTATTTTTATAGGATATCCTTTCGGGAAGAAGACTTGGAGGGTATATGATTTAGACACTAATGAGTTCATAGTGTCAAGAGACGTAAGATTTCATGAAAGTGTGATTTCATGAAAGTGTGTTTCCCTGGAGTGAAAAGGGTGAAAACTTGGTGTATCAGAAGGAAATCAGTGGTTCTCCTGACGATGACTGGGTGTTGAATATCACCGTAGATGACAAGGGGAGTGTGGTGTAGAAGAATGATGAGCAGAATGATGATATTACGAAAAAAAATATTAGACACTGAAGCTGAAGTGATCTCTGGTCCAGAAGAAAAACAGAGCAAAGATAATGAAAAACTGATCGATGAAGGGGAAGAAGCCGTTACTGGTTCTGAAGTAGTGACTGAGTTGGGAAGAGGTTGCAGAGAGAAGTTTCCTTCAGTGAAGCTGCGCGACTATGTGAGCTACAATGCTCAGTATTTGAAGGAACCCTATCACGGTCTCACAGCTCCTACTTCTTAGTCAGAGTCTTCGTTGACAGTCCAAGGTACCACACCTTATCCTCTTGAATATTACATATCTGATGAACGTTTCTCTTCACATCATAAAGCTTTTCTCGCTGCAATAGCGTGTGGGAAAGAACCACATAGCTTCAAAGAAGAAATGCAACAAGAGATATGGCGTAACTCGATGAAAAAATAGATGGTGGCCTTTGAAAAAAATAAAACCTTCAGCATAGTAGACTTGCCACTAGGAAAGAAAGCCATTGGCAACATGTGGGTGTATAAATATAAATAAAATGCTGACGAAACGATGGAAAGACCCAAGTCCCGTCTAGTGGCTTTGGGAAATAAGCAAGTGAAAGGGAGAGATTTCAAAGAAACCTTTGCACCGGTTGCAAAGATGACTACAGTGAGAAGTTTTTATTACGTGTAACTGCAGGAAATGGGTGATTGTGCATCAGATGGATGTTCACAACGCTTTCTTGCACGGTGAATTTAAAGAGGAGGTATATATGAAGCTGCCACAAGGGTTTCAAGCTTCTGATCCTAACAAGGTTTGCAGGCTGCACAAAGCGGTTTACGGTTTGAAGCAAGCGCCTAGGTGCTGGTTCTCTAAGTTGGCAGATGCTTTGAAGAAGTATGGGTTTAAGCAGTCTTATGCCAATTATTCTATGTTTGTGTACTTTGAAGGTGGAGTGGAGCTAAGAGTACTTATATATGTAGATGATTTGCTGGTTTGTGGAAATAACATGAAGATTGTGGAAAATTTTAAGGAATACTTGAGCAAGTGTTTTCATATGAAGGATTTAGGAAAGTTAAAATATTTTCTTGGGATAGAAGTTGGACGAGCT